CATACCAGTCCCAGCAATATGTATGTATCCTCTTGGGCCTAAACTTAAGGGGAAACAAAGGATCAAGAATAGCCCATCCACAGCTTTGGAACAAAACAGCAGTTTGGCCTCTGGCTAGGAAGAAGGGAGAAGAAGCAACCACTAGCAAATCTGCAGGTGCTGCCAAGAGGGCAGAAAGCAAGAATGGTAACCAGAAATGGGAACTGCTCTTTCCTCTCTTTGAAAAAGCTCAATTCTTCAGAGTGCTGGTTTCCCTCTTTAGACAAGGATGTAGATGAGCATCTCTGCTATTTTTTGCCCCCCTCAAAGATGATTTTCTTCTTTGACAGCAACTCTTGCCTTTTTTAGGAGTTGCCACTTTCTACTTCAGATAATTTTCTGAATTAAAAATGTGGGAAATTGATCCTAGTAGGAAAATGTCACTAATTGACTCCAGGATTAATTTTTAGCATTTTTATAATATAAATAAAGGGGACCCTCCCTTTGTAAATTGATATAGTTAATAATTATGTGGATGGTGCCCAACGTGAATTTTTTTTTTTTTAAAAACAAGGATTATGATTTGATCATAATCTGCCCCAGATCACAACCTTTCAAAATTTGTAGTGATCTGCTTTTGGAAACAGAGCTTTCTTCTTGTTTCCTAACACTTGTGTCTTTTTAGGTCGGGTCACTGTTGTGGTATTGGTGCTAACCACTACCCAAAGGGCTTCTTTCCTGTAGAGGTGAAAAGTGCTAAACCCTTTCCTCCTCCTGGCACTGTATTTACTTCAGAGACATAATAAAAGTGCCATTCATCAAAAAACCTGTTAATGAAGTGGGTGACAGGCCAAAAGGCTTTCTGAGGCTTATTCTAACTCTATGACAGAACTCTTTGACTTTACATTCAAGGTGTTAAACCTGGCAAAATAATGGGAGATGATGAAGTTCATTTATGTATCGGACAGCATTTGAATCATTCACAGTGAAGGAAATCTCGGGTATTGCCAATGGTGTTTAAGTTGATTCAGATTTAAATAGGACTTAACAACTAGACATTCCCAACTGTGTGTGTGTGTGTGTGTGTGTGTGTGTGTGTGTGTGTGTGTGGTGCTAGGGATTGAAACCGGGGCTTTGTGCATGGGCATTCCCAACTTTTGAGTTTGCAGTTACTTTTTGATTTGATTATTACAAATTATAAGCTGGTTTTATAGTCTCTGGCATCGATTTAAGTTGATATAGGAAGAAAAAAAGCCCTTTCCTCCCTCTCTGCAGGCATCAGTGAGGCTGACTCACAGGCCCAACGTGACTCTGGGCTGGTTTTGGAGGTGAGTGATAGTGGTTCTCCATATGCTCATTCTACACTGCCCTTCTTATGAAGATCAAGTGAAATAATGTATCTAAAAGACATCCTTCGCCATTTACAATTATCCCAATATCATCAGGACTCCAACCTAAGACACAGTTTAAAGGAACTCAGTCCCTTTGAAAGTTAGCAACTTCTAATCTGTTCTCATTATTTTTTCCCCATTATTCTCATTTTGATTTTATCCTCAAAGCAGCTGTGGTTCTCCATGTAGAAACCCTCTGTTAAGGTGAGGAGATACTTTGAAATACCTAAGTGCCTACCAGTTCTGAAGCAAGGACTTTGCCCTATCAAAGGTGAAAAATAACAGTAATTTTATACTGGAGTGAGGCAAGATGGTTTGGGAAGGAGTGTGGAGAGGTGGCAGAGGGCTTTGGCATAAGGAGGCAACGTGGGCTACCTTAAAACTTCAGGGGGTTCCTGGCTGCCTTCTCTGAAGGCACAGGCTGCTCTTTGCCAGCCCCTCGTCACAGTGGTCACGGTAATAAAAAACAGTAAGAATCAGGATTACAGTTATTCAATGCTTTGGGGCATGGCCTGGGTGCGCCACAGGCAGTTCTCACCAGAGCTGGGGAGTAACTCGGTACCTTTTGATCAGAGGCCAGGCTAGTCTAAGGATATGACATTTCTATTTTAAGCCTTCCATGAGGATAATTTCTGGGGACAAATGACTTCTTGCCCCCTTTTGATTTTAATTGCCCAGATAGTGCCAACATGTGAGTTTGTGGGGCTGACAGAAGAACTTGACCTCGTAGCCATGGAATGTGAAATCTACTTTCTCCAACCGTTGAAACTGGCAGCCTGGGGCTACATCTGCCCACAGATAGCTCGTCTTTGGTCTGCACAGTGTTGGCTAAGAATCTGCATTGGTTGTCAAAGCTTGAATGTCAGGAGTATCACATTTCCAGGCGAGAGGATCAAGCCGTCCTGGGCCTGAATTCTGTCTGATTGTCTAGAGCTGAGTGTGGGTCTTCCTAAGTGGGTGTGTGCTTTCCAGTTCAACATGACTGATGCCATTCCACAGTGTCCCTCTTTTGTCTGCCCTGATCTTTTACACAGATCTTGCCTGGCAACTGCAACCCCTATTATATACCATTAGGAAGCTTCCATTTAAAGATGAAATGAGACTCATGGGTTCTAAACTATACAGCAATAAACACTTGAGGCCCGAGTTAACAGTGGAGATATACTGAGGGAATACTGATGGAGTTTTCTAGGTTGCCTTGGCTGTGTGTGAACTTCCCTAACTCCATGCGTTTTAGTCCTCAGGTCTGCAGAGTCCAAAATCTGTTTGAAACCAAGCTCTGAATGACCACTTCATAGGGGCTGCCCAACCAGCATGGGGCCATTTGATCTCAATTTTTCTTATCTGCATACTTGGCTAATGGATTACTAAAATCTTAGAAAAGACACCTTCTCATTTTAACAGTGAGTGGGCTTGAAAAAAGTTTACAGTATTATGAGATGGTTTTGGCAAAACTCACAGTCGTTTGTGCAGTTAATAAACTCTCCACAGCTCCCTTCCTTGTTTCCTGACTCATGGGAACAGTCACTTTGTGTGTGTGTGCGCCCGCGCCTGTGAGTTCTTCACAGTGAAAAATCAAGCACTTATTCTGATAAGGAAATTAAAGTTAGTGCTGAGGACAGCATTACTTTAAACACTACTCATCTCCTAAGAATTCTGTCTTTGGATGTACATACTATGATTTTAGAAATTTCCTCCAAATGATATTTGTTAAGTAAATGCAGGTTTGTGGTTCTGGTAGGTTGAGTGGAAAATGTGTCTCATGACAGAATCCATCATTTTACACTAAAGAATTTATAAGAATCTCTCTCCTATGGCCTATAAGCATATCTGCCAACTTTCTTTTTTTTTTTTTTAAGATTTAAAATGTGTGTGATGATTCTTCAAGTGTCTTTTTTTCCTTAATGCTTTGAAAACATTCTGGCAATGATAAAGATGTAGGTGTTGTGATCTTGATTCTCTTGTAAATAACCATTCCATCTGATCTGCATTTCTACCCTTGCTACAGAGGGTTAATTGAAAAGATATGCATCAAAACACTTGCTTAAAAGAGGCATAGCCCTTTGTTCAGTGAACAGGAATTGTGTATAATATGAACACTTCCTGTCTGGTAAAATAGTGTATTTTAAAAAATAAGCTACAATGTATAAAACCAAGGTCATTTCCCACAAAATGTTCATGTTCTTTTGTGATTACAAAAACACTGCATCTTGTAAAATATTTCCAGTTCTGTTAACTTGAAGAGTTCAGTACTAATGCTTATTATAAAAGTGTCGTGTCTTAGAATTGTAGACATCTAAAGAAGTGTTTTGTTTCATTTGGAAAATTAAGTTATAATTATTATTGAAGATTACATCTTGCCACAACACATTACCATGTGATTTTCAGACCCACACAACAAAAGTTATAAAACATGAGATTGTCTCCAAAAAAAAAGGAACTATTTACACAATAGGACTGGAAGTACAATTCCCATATTCTTTCCTGGTCCTATGAGAGACACACCTTTTAAAGCATGTATATCATTGGATATGGGCTTTTTCAAAGTCAGTCATAAGAAGTAGGTCTTAAATACATTTGATGCTTTCTTGCTCTATTGGTGTACATTACTCAGAGATTGTATTGATATCTAAAAGTGCTACTCTCATTTACTGACTTCAGGCTTGGCTAGTTACAATTTAAAAGACAGAATGAAACAGCTCCTAGGTGGAGTGATCCCCACAGGTAGGAGGAACAGGGTGAGTCTGTGTGCTGCTGGTAGGGTTCCTTGCTTAGAGAAATGAAATTTCCAGTTGACCCATGTGCCCAGCACATTCTCTAAAATGATCCACATTCTCATTCATATTCATGAATCCTGCTGTTTCCACTCATTAGTATGCACAAATTCTTCCCTGTGTTCACACAGGCCAATGCTACAGCTGATGTGGTTGGTAGACATCCTACAGGGTTGTGAGAAAAAGCAGCACCTTGTCCATAAAGTCCATGGCAGTTTGCTCCTTAACATGCTAGTAAAGCAAAATGCACATCTTTAACGGCTTTCTATTACCTATAGAATTCTGCTGATTGCTAATTAACAGTCACCAAACTGGGTGATTATAAAAAGAAATGGCAAGGCTCTGTATTCACAATTACATTCAAAAAGCCTCACTGAGTCTATGAATACTCACCAGGCACCGCGCCTGTGGTTCAAATGTCAGCCTTCGATTGCAGGCCAGCTACAAAGACAAAGCTTCTTCATGGGGCATTTTCCCCAAGTCTACAAAAGTTGGTATTGTCCAGGTCACATAAATTTGTCTTGAAATGATATCATGTTCACATGAAAAGAAAAAAAAAAACTATTCCAACTAGAAAAGACTGTAAAATTCTTCCTAGTCTCAGAATTCTCCTATTTTCACATAGCCTTTGTTTCCCTGAGGAAATGAATATTATTTACAGTATTCTGCTACAATTCTAAAGGTATTCTCATTATATACAATTTTTCCCTAAACCTTCTCAAGTGAATGCTGCATGTCATTTTTCAATGGAATCTGAGGAAGGGAAAAATGGAATTCAGCAGTGTTGGTTAACTCAGAACCCACGGCTGCTTGCAAAAGTGTGGGCAGTGTGACATCAGAGACAGAGGACTTCAACTTGAATGCTCTTGACATTTAATGGAGGACATATCAGTTTCAGAAATTTTTTGCAGCATACATGTGACCATCTTTGAAAAGTTTTTTGGAAAATTGAAGAACTATAACAGGCATCATTCTCTACTGAATTTCTCCATCTGCAACATGGTTATGGCAGGGATTTGTCCGCTGAAGGGTACCTTGTTTGTACATGGAGCTACTGACAGGCATTTTTTAGCTGAGCATGCACATTCCTGGTTGGAAACCCACCACTCTTTTCCCGACACTGGCTTTTGCCAACCAAGGGAGGAAACTTTCCAGCAATTGAGGAGGAGATGCTCAGCAGCCCTGTACCCGTGGGTAATGCTCAGAGACAGTCACTATTGGCTGATTAGCCCCAAGATGAACAGGGGCCAGGTGTCCGCAGGCCTCTTGAATCTTCCTCCCTGACACACTTGCTATCTGGGTGTTTTCTTCAAGTTGCATCACTGCCTCCCACAAGTTGGGTGTCCATTACTCTGGGAAGAACTAAGTCTTGAGGCTATTGCCCGATACACACTTTTTGCTTTGCAGCTAACTGGTATGTGCCCTGTTGGTGAATATCAAATGCCTCCTTTGTAGAGAAATGAGAGAACTTTTTAAAAAGAAGGGGCATTAAAGAAGGGAAAAAAAAATCAGAACTTTTCACTGGACCAGAATCCATTGTATTGCCACTCCTTTTGCCTGGACAGGCCTCTGAGTTCCCTGGGATGGACAAGGCTCGCCAGCTTACCCTGGGACTGCTCTTCTTACCCTTCTCCCTGCCAAATGCAGACATAAAACAACTTGGTTCCACAGAGATGGCGTGAAATGAAAGTCTGGTTTAATTTGGCACTTCATTTGGTTCCAAAAATAACAAAATAACTATTTTAAAAAATTTAACTTGTACAATCAGCAGCTGCATATTGCAATTCAGAGCTTGTACAAAGTATAATGTCTTCTTCAAGGCCAGCCAGGTGTAGCTTGGTGGTCTCCTAGTTATTACATGTCTTGGTGCAGGGAATAGGTGTCTGTGAGCAGGAAGGTACTGGGGTCCGTCCACATCTGGAAGCCAGAAAGGAAAGTACACAGAGCTCTGGACTGGTCAGCAGAAAGGTGCCCCCACTTGGGCAGGAGATGCAGAATGTGTGTGAAGAAGGCTTCAGAAGAAAGGTTCTGCTTACACCTGTGCACTGATTGAGCCTGGCATAGCTAGGCCTGAGCTCAGAAGTACTCATGGGTTGTATCTTTTAGAGTAACAGCTACGGGGCCTTCTTCCAAGACTACTCCACAGCAAAGATCCCTCCTTGTGTTCTAAATTCTTGGAAGGGAATGAATTTAACACAGATCACTTTAATCTTTTGTGACTTAATCCAAGAATCAAGTGACAGGGAGATCTGCTGAAGAGAAAAACCTCTGGGCCACAATTGCACCCTTTCATTTAAGTTCATGGTGAACCTGCTCAAATAATTGGCCAGCCTTGCCTCCTCCAGGACACTGGGTGATATACTCATTGCTTACGGCCTTTTGGACCAGGCCAGAGCAGCATCTCACAGCAGTGGTGCTATAGGCAAAGTGATAAGATACCAGGAGAAGAAAGGACATGCTAGGGAAGAGGAAACCCAATACATTTTTGCATTTAAAAATACACCTGTTCCTGGCTGACCTTGTAAGTTCCAAAACATACAGTACAGCTGGTGTGGCTATATTGATTGATTAGTAATCTTGATGTAAAATTAGATGTTCTTTTTCTTTTCTCTTGAAATGTGTTTTTTTAAAAAAATAAATGAAGGAAAAGACTGGGATCTTTTCCAAGGAATAATTTTTAAAAAGTCATATGAGAGTTTAAAAAATAAATTTACCATAATATATGAATGCACAAATTATGGATGTTGCACTGTAGAACCTCCTTATATATCCCTTGCTTACAATAGAAAAGGGTATCTGTAATTACTAGATGACTTCTTTCTATTCTTTAAAAAAGCATATGTACAGTCTTTAAACATATATTAAGCTTTCCTCTGTGCAATTTCATTTAACATTCCTATGGCTGATCCTATGTCCCCACCCCTATACAGTGCATCCTATAAGGTGCTCTTCTTTGCATAGGTATAGGAGAAATATCTCTTTAGCAGGGCAGTTGAAGGTAGGGCAGATAATAGAGGATGAGCTAATTTAAAGGGCTTGGCAGCTGCTACCCACACTACTAACACCAAAACAAACAACAAGTACAACTGGTTAGAAATCCTAACAAATGGAACACAGTGCAAGCCCTGGCCCTACTAACTCGAGAAAGTCCTATACCAACATGCATTCTCCTTTTGGTGTTCTGTATGTTCCCTTCTGAGCAAATTAATGAATAGCCCAATATTTTTATAAGAAAAATAAAAGTTCAGACCTTCCATTTATCCATATAATATTTATATTGTTCTTGAACCCATCTCCCAGACACACTAAAGCATGAAACCTATAAAAGTGCACGCAGACTGGAAGGTGACTTTCTGAACAGATGGGGACAATGTTAGCTGTGCCCTGCTGTCCAATGCAAACCTGCTGGGAGAGTCGAGTTCCCTGCTTTTTTGGGAATCAGTCAGTGGTGGAGTTTTGAGGGATGGACCAATGACCCATGAACCTGGCTACAGTCTTGAAGGACAAGCAGTAACACACAGATCTGAGCTGCAGTCTGTATCACATCCCTGAAAGAAGCATCAAGGCTTACCCAGATGGCTATGGATGCCAGTTCTTGTCTGAGTTGTGGCAGGTGGAGAATTAGCTGTGCTGCCTCTTGGGGGAAGAGCTCCTTACAGATCCAAGGAAGATTCCTCGATGGTTTCCAACAGTGGCAGCTACATTTCCTGAACTCAACTTGGGACTGCAGGCCGCTGGTGTCACCATTGCCAATTGCTTTTGGAGCTTATGCCATCTGGGGCCATTCTTAAAAACAAACAAAACAGACATAGAAAAGATACCCAGAGTGCTGCTCTTTCTTGCAACACATCATGATGTGTACTGCTTCAAGAAGTCAATGAAAAAAAGGGGAAAAGTCTATTCACAAAGTGGGTATTGTTCTTTGTACAAATGCTACTGAATAATGTTGTAGCTAATGTGATTTCTTTTCCCCCCTAAGGGTCGAAAAAATTCTCGGAAATGCCATAATTCAGAAAGCTTATCAAAATATGCCTCCTTTCTAGGTAAAATGGGCTTGGTTGGTTCAGTTGTTACAGAAGTCCATAGTTTTAAGACCTAAATACATGGCTAAGTTGACTTTTCTTTTGACGGGGGGGGGGGATGTTCTAGCCACTCTAGGCTGGGTTCTCAGTAAGAGCAGCACAGGTGGTGATATTTTTGATTTTTTTTTTTTGCTGTGACTCCACAAAGGCTCGTAGAAGGGCTTTCCCTGGGTCTTGAGGTTTTGTTCAGAAGGAAAGGCTCTTCCTAACACCTGCAGCAAAACGGGAGGCAGGAGCAGCTTGGGGCCGCCCTCTGCTACTCAGTCGATGAACCTCTGGCAGGCCTTCTTCCAGCGGCAGGCGGTGCACCACATGTCCCGGTTCTCCATGCCATACACCTTCCGGCACTTTTTGCCCTCTCCCCTGGGCTTCCTGTGAGTCAGATAAGAGGGAGTTTTTTCAGTGGGCATTCTAAGGAGAGTCCGAAATTATGAGGGAAAAATAAGTAAGGAAACATCCAAGGGGCTCTGGGTTCAGACTTTAATACACACTGGATGTTTTCATGGCCACTACACTTGGCTGTTACAATTAGCTACTATAACCTTGAGCTTCTCTCTGTCCATCTGTGGACATGTATAGGTGGCCATCTTCATAAAATTGAGTTAACACCAGATATACCAGTAGAGAGCAACACTGCTCTTTCAGGTTTCAAATCTATACTTTCTAGTTTTCCCTTATTTCTCTGATCCCGGTTAAGGAGATCCTTGATCAGGATTAAAAAACTATACCTTGTTCATTTCACACCAGGAATTAATGCCACAACTGAGCCCTTAACCAGAACGACCAAACTTAATATCCAATTCTGCAAGAAAACTTACTCCAAGCCACCGCCCCATCCACCCAACAACAAATCTCCATTAATAGTTAATGGATAAGAAAAGCCATGAGAATAAAAGAATGGGTGGATTCTGGAGAAACTTTATGTAAGATCACATTTCTGGGTTCTCTGCTATATTTGTTTTTCAGTAATTCCCTTGAGGTGGTGAGAATTTTAAGCTATCTTACCTTAGGCTGACTGTCCCTCTGGGTGGGGAGGACAGGACGGTGTGGGCATGTTGTCTCTGTTCTCCTGTGCTCACCACATGATGATGTGTTGGTGACACCTGGTAAATACACGGAAAACCAAATTGACAGGGCAGGGTCTCCGTCCCATGCATTTATTTAGCCTTTGCCATGTGAGCAATGGGCCCTGACCATTAGGCATGGAGATGAAATGTTTTCCACAAGTTGAAATGGATGGGGGATGCTCATGGAGGAATTTAAATGCATCCCCAAACAGAAAAAAGCCCACCAGTAAGATGTTAAAAATCATGACTTCGTGTTTATGCATTCCAAGTTGCCTATCATTTGGATAATATTTTAAAACCTTAAAATCTATTCCCATTTCATTTAGGTCTCATGAACTCTTGTCAAGTAGGGTAAGTTTCATGATTCCTATTTTAGAGTATGAAAAATATCTACAGCAGCTGAAAGATCACACAGCTAGATGGTGGCAATACCTAGTGGACCTAGGTATTAATTAGATCATTCAGCCACTAAATAATTTTTTTTTTGGTATAAGACATCTCTGTAGCAGAATCTGGGGACCAAGCAGAAACAATGGCAAGAGCCTGGGCCAATTAAGAACATGTGTGATCCATGTAGCACTGAGTACCCACCATGTGCCAGCCTCGCTGCCAACAGCTTTCATTTTCACAACAGCCTCATGCCATACATATATGATTGGTCCCATTTTATGGATCAGGAAACCAAGGAACAGGGAAGTTACTTAACTTGCCCAAGATCATAGAACTTGTGATGGTAGAGACAGGGTGTGTAACCCTGGTACTTCTTCTGCTTAGTCATAATGAGAGGGCCCCAGCTGCCCTTGGTTCCTCTTGGATTATCCATAAAACCTCTTTATGTGACCTGTTCCCATAACACTAAACATCTTCCCAGCTCATGTACTACAAAAATCTAATTTTTACAACAAAAGAAAATGAAGTTTCAAGTAAGCAAGCAGTATTGCCATTTTCAGGAGAGGAAATATTTAGCAACTTAAAAAAAAATCACCCAGAAGACTACATGGTCATAGAAACACCATCACCGATTAGCAGTCAAGGGAGCATCCCCGTAGTGCACACAGACAGCTGATATTCTCTAGTACAGGTACTAGTACCTTCTTCTTTCAGTGTGAAGGATGCATATCAGTGTTTTTCCAGACATTAATATGAAATTTATACAGGTAAATAAAATCTAAAATTTAATGACTGTTGCCATGAGTCTGAATTATTCTTTACCACTGGTCTGGTCTTGAAAGCCAGCAGAGATGAGCAACATACAGAATAAAAAAAAAATACATTTCATGTATATAGATCTGTAGGTCTTTCCATGAGAAGAAATGTGCCCCCTCCTCTCTCATAATGCACTTGGTTTTCAGGATGCAAAACAGGGAACAAATGTTTCAGAAGTTAATGGCCACTGAAGATGATCCAGAATACACTCACGTGAGTTGTTTTAAATTATCAGGACAATACAATATAAAGATTCCCGTAGACCTCATAGAATCTTAAGAATATCAGAACTGATATAGAACTGAAAAAAAAAATTAGTTGACATGCCAGTGTCACTACTTCCATAAGCCAAGGTAGATTCTAGATTTTTTTTGGTGCATTATAGCTATACATATTGATGAGATCTGTTGTTACATATTTGTACATGCACACAATATAACAATATAATTTGGCCAATATCACTCCCCAGCACTACCCCTTCTCCCCTTTCCTTCTATTTATCTCCCTTTGATTTTCATGAGATCTGCCCCAATTTTTTTTTCTTCTTCAGCTTGCACATATGAGAGAAAAATATAACCCTTAACTTTCTGAGTTTGACTTATTTCACTAAACATGAAGGTCTCTAGTTCCATCCATTTTCCTGCAAATGCCATAATTTCATTTTTCTTTATGGTGAAATAAAACTCCATTGTGTGTGTGTGTGTATATATGTGTCACATTTTCTTTATCAATTCTTCCACTGATGGACACTGAGGCTAGTTCCATTGGCTACTGTGAATTGTGCTGTAATAAACACAATCCTAGATTTTGCAAAGTTGCCACAGCTCTTTTGCATGCGGTGATATGACATTATCAGATGCTTTTTGTTCAGCATTAGTAAATACAGTGATTCCTCTGAAGTGAGATTGGTTTCAGCATCCCTGTGGATACTAAAACCTGCAGATATTCAAGTCTCTTGGGCAAAATGGCATTACTATTTGCATGTAACCCAGGTACATGGTCCCATATACTTCAAATCACCTCTATATTACTTATTGTACCTAGTTACAATATAAATGTTACCTAAGTAACTGTTATAACTGTACTGTATAGGGAATAACAAGAAAAGGTTTGTACAAGTTCAGTATAGATGTAATTGAAAAAAAAGTTTAATTTGTAGTTAGAATCTGCATATGTAGAACCTGCAGATACAGAGGGCTGGCTGTAATTTCCATATACCAGACACTGTTCTAGATTCTGTAGATACAACAGTGAGCAAAACAGCTCTGCTCTTGTGGTATTTACATTCTCATGGGCAGACAGACAATACATTTTAGGAATAAGTGCCTATTACCATATTTTACTTTCTTCAGGCTAAAGTATAATTTAAGGAGAGAATATACATTAGGATGGTAAAAGAAGTCGCTGAGGCAGTCACGCTTTATCTGCAGGTCACACCAGAGGACAGTGCAATGACAAAGATTTTCAAGTGCACAGGTTCCCAGAAGTTGCTCTGAGGGTAGAAGGATGGACGATGGACAGGTTTGATAATGGGATTGAATGTTTTCATTCTAAGTGTAATGGGAAGCCATTGGAGAATTGTGAGATATCTGAATAATGCTTTGAAAGGGTCGCTTTGGTTCTTGGGAAATGGATATGAGACATTCTGGAAAGGAGACCTATAGACTATCTAAGAGCCTTTTGGAGGCAAAAATATATGAGTGGTTTAGGGTAGATATGGCAGCGGTGGGAAGGGGATGAATGGAAGGGGATTGTCGCTTAGAGGCAGAATTAGAATTTGCAGATGGATGAATGTGGAGCAAAGAATGCAGACAGATCTTTAGATGAACCAAGAGGAGGCAAAGATGGATCCTGGGTTCTTGCCTGAGTGGGTGGGGACAGTGGGTTTCCACTTAAAGAGATGGGAAAACTGGTGCAATGGCAGGTTTGAGGGAGACATGAGAGAAAGGTTTTTGAAAATATCATGAGCACAGTTTGAGAAATATGGACCTACTGTGAGACCGACAGTCTTTATTCTCTCAATTGGAGTTCAGGGCATGCACCTCCTGTGTGCAGCCCCTCCCCCTTCCAAAGGCTTGGGTTTCTACAGGGTGCAACACAGCACAAGACACAGAGGACCCACTTCACATGTGGTGTATTGCTTAGTTCTGTGGAAGGCTTCGTACAAATTGAGAATTTTCTTGATTTTTTTTTAATAGCAAGAATATCATATTTTATCTTCTTATTTTACTAGGGGATGAGGGTAGGGAAACCAAGAGAGTGACTGCAGTAGGGAACTAATATTTATTCAGCTCATGAAAATGAAAGGCTATTGGTTATTTACTCTCTTTCCTAATCGTTACAGCAAACATGCAAAATAAATGATCATATTTGCATCTTGGAGACAAATTTAAGCTTTGAACAGAGAGGTGGACTGCACCACATCCCATAGGTACAAGTAGCAATAATAGTAATTTATCAAGAGCTTAGTATATGGTCTAAGTACAAACTAAGCTAAGCACCTCCTATATATTATATAATTTTTTTTTTTGGTGTGTGGTTCTGGTGATTGAATCCAGGGCCTTGTACATGATAAGCACATTCTACCACTGAGCTATATCCTCACTGCCTTCTAATTTAATCCTCACAATGGCCCCATGATAAAAGCATCACTATCATTTCCCCTTTACAGAAGTTAAATACATTTTCAAGGTCACACAGTCATTAAATGGAGAACTTGGTTGTCCAATACCAGCTGGTCTTAGAACCCCCTTCTGAAGGATATTAGACGCCTGCTCTTTCTACTCTCCCATCCTGCCACATAATTGATGGAAATACTGTGTGGCCTCGGAGGCACAGGCAACAAATTAAACTAGACAAATGATTATATCAAACTAAGAAGCCTCTGTACAGCAAAGTAAATATTCAACAGAACTAAGAGACAACCTACAGAACGGGAGAAAACATTTACAAACTATTCATCCAGTGATTGATATCCAGAGTACATAAGGAACTCTGAACCAAACACACAATCAATCCAATGAAAAACTGGCCCAAAGAACTAAACAGACACTTCTCAAAACATGACATATGAATAGGCACTAAATACATGAAAAAATGCTCAATCTCACTAATTGAGGGGAAATGCAAATCAAAACCACAATGAGTTATCTCACCCTGGCGGTGAGTCATCAAAAAGACAACAAATGCTGGAGAGAATGCAGAGAAACAGGAACTCTTAAACACCACTGGCGGGAACTCAGCCATTATGGAAGAGTTCCCCCCCTTCCCTTAAACTGACAACTACAGTTATGATCTAGTAATTCTACTACCAGGAGATGATCTCACTATGGCAAAAAGGTACTTGCAGTCCCAAATTTCCTGCAGCAGTGTTCACTGCTCTTTCTACTAAAATATAGAACAGAGCCGGGTGTGGTAGTACATGCCTGTAATTCCAGTGACTTGGGGGGCTAAGGTGGGAGGATCAAAAGTTCCAGGCAATCCTGTGCAATTTACCTAGGCCCTAAGCAACTTAAACCCTGTCTCAAAACATAATATAAAAAGTGCTGGGAATGTGGTCTAGTGGTAAAGCACCCCTGGTTTAAAAAAAAAAAAAAAAATCAACCCAGAGGCCCTTCAGTGGATGGGTAAATAAAGAACATCTGGTATGTATACACAATGGAGCATTATTCATCCATTAAAAAAGTGAAGTCCTGCTGGGGTTGTGGCTCAATGGTAAAGCACTCGCCTGCACATGTGAGGCGCTGGGTTCGATCCTCAGCACCACATTAAAAAAAATAGGTATTGTGTCCATCTACAACTAAATATCTCTATCTATCTATCTATCTATATATAATCTCCTGTCATTTGGAACAATATGTACAGAACTGGTGGCCATTCTGTTAATAAGCCAGACAGAGACAAGTACTGCACATTATCACTCATTTGTGGAAACTAATGTCAACCTTAAAGAAGAATGAAATAATAGTGGTCACTATAGCCTAGGAAGGGCAGGAGGGAGGGAGCACAGAAAGAAGCCCAAGGTCACCAAAACAGAATGGAGGATTACTTCTGGTTCTTCTTTAGCACAGGTGGGTAACCATAGGTTAAAATAATCTGTGATATATTCCAAATGACCAGAAAAATAGGAAATCCCCAACACATAAAAATGATTAATATTTGGAGAGAGGGAAATGCTAATTACCCTGGTTTGATTATTACACACTGTATATAAATACTGAATTACCACAATGTACCCCATAAAGATGTACTAACATTGGGCTGGGGTTGTGGCTCAGAGACAGAGCACTTGGCTTGCATATGTGAGGCACTGAGTTCAATCCTTAGCACTACATAAAAACAAAATAAAGATATTGTGCCCACATATAACTAAAAAATATTTTTTAAAAGATGTACTAACATTCTCTCTCAATAAATGATTCTAATTTGAAGAAAATAATGTGTGTCCTAAAATACAATCCTGATTTTGACTCTCCAGTAGTCTCTACACTTTAGTCTTTATTTCTTAACCTTTTCTGAGTTCTATCTTGAAGCATGTTTTATTAAGTATTTGATGTACTAAACATTATTTCTAAGTAAATAAAATAGGCTACGTGTCCATAATTTGTCTACTGATTAGGTGAAACCTCAGATGAGCTTAAAGAACTCTAAACTAATTTTTCCCTGGTGTTGAGTATATTTGTGTTATATGAAACAATCCTAAATAGGGACAATCCACTTCCTCTGATCCTTGTTTAATAGTAACAATGGCAGTAATAATAAGAGCTCCACAGTGTTGGCCATATGCCAGGCACAGTGCTGCACCACACAGATCTACCAGGTAGAATGAGAATGGAGGTCACTGCTTCACAAAGGTCAAGTGACTGGTTGGAGGTCAGAGTTCATAGATGCCAGAGTCAGGATGTGCAGATGAGCCTCCCTGAGTGCAAAAATGTCAATGTCATACTTCTGTAAATGTGTTGGAAGAATTACTTTGTAACTTTCTGTTTCTCAAACAGAAAAGACCTTTGGTTAATTTTGATCTCTTATACTAATTTGAACCCTTTCTCAAGGCATTAAAAAAACAAACAAACCCAAACCAACTAAGAATCTAACATTTAAGCACTGCTATGCCCGTGGCACCCCCTCCCCACCAAATTCATACTTTGAAATTTTACCTGCCCCCAGAGAGATTATACTTGGAGATAAGGTCTTTAAAGCATTAAGTTAAATTAAGTTATAAGGATGAGTCCCCAATCTAATAGAATTAGTACCCTGATAAGAAGAGCCATCAGAAAATTGGCTGTTGTGTACTTTCTTTCTTATTCTGATTTCCTCCCCTTCTCCACCCTCATTCTTTCTTGCTATGTATTACACACACACACAGGAAAACTATGTGAAGACACAGTCAGAAAGCTATTTACAAACCAGAAAGAGCCTTCACCAGCAACTAAATTGGCTGATACGTTGATTTGGGACTTCTAGCCTCCAGAACTGTGAGCAAATAGATTTCTGCTGTTTAACACATCCTGTCTATGCTATTTTGTTATGGTAGCTTGAGGTGACTAATGAAGGAGCCAAGAGATTTTAGCTTTCTGTCATAAAAAGACAGAGAAAGGCATGGAGATAATTAGAACTAAAGGCAGGCCATGAGAGAAAAACAGGTTAAAAAAAGCTGTAATTAATGAGGATCTCCTTTCCCTTCCCCTTCCTAGCAGCCTTAGGCTAGAAAAGACTGAAACTATGGTGCTTGTAAATATGCAGATCAGCCTTCTTGGATACCCACCTCGGGGAAGGGGTCTTACTTGGGGAACTCATTAAAACCTAATGTTCAAGAAAATCTAGCACAGACTAATGAATAAGTAAAATCCTACAAACCCTGGGATTTCTCAGAAGGAGATTTTCCCCATTCTCTAGAAAGTGTTCGAAATCTCTCTTCAATACCAAGTCTCAAAAATGAGAGAGGAAAGTAAACCTAAATGAGGCTGACAACCTTGGGGCATTTGTTTTAAAAGTGTTTTATAATATAGAAACTCTTCTATTCTACAGTTTGGACATAACTGAAAACATTAATACTAATTCACTAAAACTTTGAGCTCTTCTGTCTGAAACTATTACCAATTTAGGAGGGAGGAATTCCATCTTAGAGTCTGCCTGACCTCCAGGGCCTAGGACAAGCACCAGTGGGCAGGTCAGAGAGCTCCATCAGCACCCACAGGGGTGTGCAGCAGTCCTGCTTCTATGTGGTGCAGACTGTTAGGAAAGCTACTCACCCACAGAAGGAATAGGATGGCAAGCATCCATTTGTTCTTAAAAAACAAAATAGTATTAATAGGGGATTTGGCAACACAGGGAATGTTCTTAGTGTCGTGTTGCCTTTGTAGAGTAACACGAAAGTCTAGGAAAATACCCCCGTTTGTAAAGTAGGAATGGCAAGCTCTTGACTGCTAAAACAGTCTACATTCATGGCTATGACAGATTACACAACCGGACAGACTGGGAATTCTCTGGTGAAAGAATAAATTAGAAGCTGACATTTAAGAAGTTTACTTAAATACCTACTTAACTCAGCCTCCGTAGGTACTTTCTGTCTAAGTTTTCTGCTATAATATCCCTGGTAACCAACACAGGGACTCTGCAAAAACTCCTCTGTGTTGAGATTCAGGCAGAGATGTACACAGTGTCCATGCCAGAGCTTTACAATTTCATTGTTGGAAAACAAACACCACAAGGCCTGCTGGCTGGCATCCGACTGTGTAAGACATTTCTAGGCAGCTAGTAAGAAACCACTCAGTGACTTCTCTAGAGCTCAGGAGATAGTGTGATTAAGAAAGCAAAGGGGGAAAGTAACCCCAGTTTGGCTGGTCACCGGGGTCATCTGAAAAGGAGTTTGAACAGGGCTGTTCCACCTGTACACTAGGAGACATTTTACATCAGATGACCAACATGGTATGTGCTCTTGAAGTTCTTTCCAAGCCATCTAATTCCTTCCAAGGCAGAAATTAGATGGCAAGTCTGTAGTTGGGGCTGCCATTCTAGGTTAGCACAGAAGGGCGGACTCAGACAAGATAGGAAGATGATCTCTGGGCCTCCATATGTCTATCCAGGAAAAAGTCCCCAAAAGGACAGATTGTTAATCTCTCACATCTATACCAGTGGGTCCATGTTTTTTTCTAGAAGCAAAACTAATACCTGCACTTCTGAATGTTCTCTTCTAACGTCTACTAACATGGTCTCTCACTCTTCCAGAGCTGCCCGCAGTTACCACTGTTCAATCAAACAGGCAACTTTCATAACGACTCCAGTTCCACGATATTGTTCAAAATCACATTCCAGGAGTGTTTTCTGGAAGCCACAAAATTGCTGCCAGCAGGATGATTTTTATTGTTGGCTAGTGCTCTATGGGATTTAATAAATATTCATTGGCAGAGCACAGCATAATTCATTCAGCCACTTTCATTTTTTATCAGCTCCACAGGAGGCTTTAGACTTTACTGGGAACCTCTGGGAGTTGCCAGTGGTTGGCAATAAGAAGCTTTTGTGAGGTCCTTGTGGGGAGGGGTGCAGAAGAGAAAATAAGGTAACATCTGTTATCATAAACCACTTTCTGAACATTATCAGAAGTTACACACCGCCGCCAACATCAACGTTGCACAAGTCTGTGGCTATTTTGTGATAAGCTCTATAAGACCCGGTATGTTTCTAAATAAATGGTTAGGAATCAAGTTAACTCATGGTGATTTATCCGACTAAATCATTTAATATGTCAAGTTAATTCTTATGTACTTCTTAAATCTGGTTGTATTTTAGTACTCATTTATTTTCAAGTTGTCCATCAGCATGGATGATTCAGACTTTTAAAGAAAAAAAAGAAGAGTTCAATTTATCTACTTTTGAACTTTCAAATGAGATACCAACAGAACAATAATTTCAAAGGACTGAATTTTATAGCTCTTTAGAATGATGAATGTCACCTTTTCCATACAAGGTGAGTTCACCTATTCATTTTATGGTCTTTTGGAAACAAACATACTGCCAACTCAAAAAACTGTATTTCCAATAAGTTGTCACCAGTTAAAAACTCTTCTAGAAGTTTTCTAAAACACCAGTGGAACATCTTTTCGCAGAGAAGTTGGATCTGTCTGAACCACAAGATACCTTGCTAATGAATTTATAAATATTGATTGAGAAATAGAGTACTTTTGGCATTCTGGCTTTTGTTTTTTACTTGCACATCTCTACAATTTGTCCTCTAAATTTACATTTGGCTTTGCCCAGATTTCTGGCTTCTTTGTTTTTCTACTTACTGGAATGCCTGTGAAAGTGACTGGAGGAGATTGCCAAGAAATGCTGAAGCTGCTGCCGTTGGGGGTGAACTTAGCCGATCCTGGAATAGTCACGGGGGGTGTGGCCTGTTAAATAGGAAACAGAGAAAGTTCTTATGAAAGATGTTTTCCTTGGAGCCTTAAGCTCTCCTTACCTTACCAAAGTAGGGCCTTAGGAATGGTCCAGCTGTATGAATAACTTGGAATAATTATCTAATAGGTAGAGATTAAACAGGGTCAAAGGAGTAGCCAGAAATAGATTTTCTTATATATATATCTAAGCACTCTATCAAGAAGAAGTTTTGTTTTTGTGGTGCTGGGAATTGAACCCAGGGCTTTGTGCACACTAGGTAAGCACTTTTCCACTGAGCAACATCCTCAGCCCAACAAGACTCTTTTTGGCTGTCAATTTCTGAAGAAGAAATTTTATTATGTATACACATATTTATGATAGGACACCTATATACTACTATTCCCTATCAAATTTGGAAATATAAACCTGTTGAGTAAACTGGGAAATGGTGTGCAAATTGGTATATTTTAGGAGTGTTCTTTAGTAATATGTATCAAAATTCTTAGTATTCTATGAATTAGTTATTACACTTCTAAGAATTCATTCTAAAGAAATGGATACAGGGATGTCCCTTGCAGAATTATGTATTATGTGTATTAAAAACCCTGAAACAACATGAATATTCAATAATAGGAATACAGGTAAACACATCATGACATACTCAAAGAGTCATTTAAAATGCTGTTGTTGAAGAAGGCTGATTGGCATGGGGAAAAGTTAACAACACATTTATAGAAAAAAAAAAACCACCAGAATAAGACAGTGCTACTATAGAGTCCTCAGATTTCCTCCATTTTAACAAAGTGTCTACTCATAGACACAGAACAAAATCTTAAAAGACATACTAAAAAAAAAAAAAAAAAAAAAAAAAAAAAACCCATTAACCGAGGGGACCTCTGGTTGTTGGGATTAGGGATGAATTTTTTTAGCGGGGCTAAAATATTAGAATTTTTAGATCACCTAGAGTGGGTTCCAATTCTCTCATTACATAGATGAGCAAAATGATTTAATTCATTTTTTCAAGTCTATGATTTCTGGAGGGCAATAGTGACACATTAAAAACAAATGAATGAATTATTCTTTTTGACCAACAAAAGTCAGGAATTAAATTTATTGCACCAAGTAGTTTAATCAGCGCTCTATCCCACTGCTCTTGAGTTCAACACTGCTAAATAAGTGGCTGAATTCTTCCTCTGTAGGCTTAGTTTTTCTTATTACAAATACATTGACTAGTAATGGTGGTTTTGTATCTGGGACCATGGAAAGTATTTCAGCAACACACAGCAAGGTTCAGAAACTGTTCATTCATGTTCCAGATAACTCAATAATTTCTCTTCTGAGAATTTAAGTCAGGCAGAGAGGTTCATAGTGCAGTTATAAATGATAGTGAAAAAATTGGACAGACCAAAAAGTAGATAGCTAAGGATCAGAGAAAGATTCAAACAATCTGGTGTTTCAATTTGAGTGGATACTACTCAGTTATATGGAAAGTTTATAAAACAGGGCTGGAAGAACACCATTACAAGTACATAAAGGAGATTTTTAAGGGTTACATAAGGTAGTTGAGAACCTTGGGGGTGGGAAGGAGTTTTAACCAGGCCCTGCATTTGCAGGATCTGTCTCTAAGGACTTGTCAGACTTTAGTGTGAATCAGCATCTGCTGGAGGGTCTGTTGGATTCCCAAGAATTTCCCTTCCTAACCAGTTCCCAGGTGATACTGGCACATTGACCTGGGGGATACTGAAAACCACTACTTTAGTCTGAGAATTAGTTACCCATTTAAAAGGCAGGGTATAAATGAGGTCCCAGATTTGGAGTGGTTCTATCATTGTACCAAAGCTTTCCACTTATTTTTTTTATTTAACAGATACTTATATGATGTCTCAGGCATCATTCTGAGGGCTTTACATATTAATGATTGCTATGAGGATTAAAATCTTTAAGGGAAGGAACCTTCAGCCAGCACTGGGAATCCAAGAATAATCATCCATCTATGTGAGATGTTGGCTTTAAGAGGAGAAGAAAAGTAAACTTGGCTACTGGGCTGCAGTATGTGAGCTGTCTTCCACTGAGGTATCTATTTCCAGGTTAGATGGCTACGGCTTTTGGTCAGTGTCAGAATGATCACTCTCCCAGTCCTGTGCCAGTCACCTGGTAAGCATGGTCGGTGTGCACGAGGTAGAGGGTGGTGGGAGCTGAGCGGCTCAATGGTGTCATCAGTTTGGTGTCAGTTTTGGCACAAGGAGTTTCTGTTCTGCTGGAATCTGGGATGGGGAACGTAGGAGGGGAAGCCAGGGACTGGGAGGGTGAAACTGGGGCCAGGCTGCTCAGTCCATCTGCCACTGAGTCTGTGTTGAGCTTGATCTCTGTGTAGTAGAAGTCCTCCTCTCCATCACTGTAGTCAGAGTCTCCAACACGCCTAAAGCAGAAGACAGCAAACAGATGTGCTCAGCCTTGAAATCTCACGTTAGTCCTCCGTCTAGGATGCTTTTCTTCTCTCTCGTCTGCCTCACAATCTCTTGCTTATGCTGCAATACTCAAATATCCAATTCTAGGTAGGTCTTTCTTGACATCTGCTTTCATCTGAATATGTCCACCCAAAGTTCATGTGTCAGAAACAACTTAGTCCCCATATGTTAAAATGGTGGGGACTATTTATATTAATGGTGTTTTGAAATGGGGCCTCTGGGAGGTAGTTAGGATAGATGAGGCCACAGGGTGGGGCCACCATGATGACTTTACTGGCTTTATAGGAAGAGGAAGAGAGACTCAAGCTAGCAGCATGCTCTGTCTCCCCACATCATGTCCTCCACCATGCTATGATGCAGCAAGAAGGTCCTTACCAGATGCTGAGCAGATGTTAGTACCATGGTCTTGGACTTTCAGCCTCCAGAACCATGAGCCAAATTAACTTCTATTTCTTACAAATTACCTGGTCTTGGGAATTTTGTTACAGCAACAGAAAATGGACTAAGATAAAGAAATCCATTCAATTATTCATTAGTTCAATCTTATGACAGTAATTTATAAATCAATCAATCTAGTTTATCCACACTGTTCTAGAGCCTCCATATACTATAGTGAATAAAACATACACACTGCCGTGTTGGAACTCAATGTCTAGTAGACGAGACAGATGTTTAATATATCAGGTATTGATAAGTCCCAGAAAGAAAAATTCAGCAGCACAAGAGTGTCCTTGATCAATGTAAGTGATTGGGAAGGGGCACGATACTTACCTAGAGTGTTCAAGGGAAGCCTTTCTGAGAAGGTGACATTTAAGCAGACACTTGCCTGAATGAAGTGAGGGAGAGACCATGTGGGCTATGGGAAGGACTCGGGGGAAGAGTTACATGAGGCTCCCTGGTGAGTCTGGTGCTTTCCAAGGAGTAGAGAGGGGCTAGTGTCTGGAGCTCAAGGCATGGCAGCACGGACGACCAGTGGCGTTTCACTGCCCACAGTGATGGCTTTAGCACTTATTCTGGATGTGATAGAAGCCAATGGGGACTTTGAGAAATTAAAAGCATTTTTTTTTTTTTAAAAAAAGGGTCACTTTGGCTATTGACTAGAGGACAGGAGGGCAAGGACAGGAGTGAAAGGCTGTTGCCATCAGATGAACACTGGCAGTGGCGGGGCCAGGCTGACAGTGCTCCAAACGATGGGAAGTCAAAGTCTGGATGTGTTTTGAAAGTGAGGCATCAGGACTTAACTCCTCTTAGTTCTCTGTGCTCCCTGAAAAGTGTGTTCATCCCTTGAGTTCACCACTTGCTCTATTTCTGTAATTATCATATTATTTTGTAGTGCTGGGATGGAACCCAGGGCCTTTTGCCTGACTGGCAAGTGCACTGCCACTGAGCTACACTTGCAGCCTGTAGTTTTTTCTGACCTGCGATCTCACTCTGATTGTTCTTCTCTAGGGATATGTCTTGCTTTTGACCTTTGTCCCTACATACACATCAGTGCATTTGGTGTGAGCAGGGTACCTGTTAAATGTTGAACGATGAATTCAGCTGATGTTGCAGGGACTGAGACTATGGATTCTTCACTTATAAAATGGGGATAATGAGTATGCCTGCTTTGACATGAGGATTAAATGAACAAAGTGCTCACAAGTGTACCTGATGCATAATAAATTTGATGTGTTTTTTCTTTTAAATAAAAATAAGGACTATGTTAAAAGGTTCAATTTTCAGTATCACTAGGAAAGTATCTTTCCAGGTGCTTTCAAAGTTCTTCCTGAGTCAAGAAAAATTGTACTTTCCCACTGAAAGTTCTGAGTAAAATAAAATAACTATTTGCTTAGAAAGTATTTATTAGGCTTGTTGGCACCTGGTTCTATGGGATGGCTGAGAGAGACTACTGCACCCCTCATTTCATGGACATGTCTGCAACAGCTGCAGATCACTGACTCAGAACAAACGTGTTTCTCCACTAATGATCCCTACTGGAACCTAAAATAAACTGCCCTCCCCAGGACTTTCTGTTTGGCCAAATCAGTGGCTTCTCCCAGTCTGGTTCCATTTCCCCTGAGCTCTCTGTGCCATATCAGGTCTGTCTGGGCTTGGCTTGCTGACCAGCATACCACTGAAGACCCCAGAGAGAGAGATGAAGAATGAGGACCTGTTCTATTCCTGTCCCACTTCCTTTCCAGTTAAAGGCAGGCTGCACTGCTGCTCGCTGCCAAGTGCTACTAATAGACACACAGACCTGGGGGAGATCATGAGTCCTCCAGGGTGATAAATCAGAATCAGCCCTTAGTATACAAGAACCGAGTGTGATTTAAGAGAAAAACAGTGTGCTTTTTATACTGGCATGGTGTGCACTGCAGCTACATCAGAGGCTAGACATGTTTTCTCTGGGCTTTGACAGGCTCTCCTCCCACACCTACACCCAGCTAGTACTTGTTAAAAATGCTGTGTCCCCATAGTCACATAATGATGCTCATGGATTAAGGTGAGGGCAGTTGTCTTTCCCAGTCATGAGAGCACTCAGACGCAGGGCTTCATAAACATAGGTTGGCCTTAGAGTCCTATAGGGACCTTTCCTGGTGGGGGGAGGTGGCTGGCAGGGTTCACAGTTCACTGAGCAATTCTAAGAGCACATCAGTAAAAAGGGGATACCTAGGGAAGCAAATAAAGTGGCTGCATTTTGAATTCCACCCTCTGTGAGTGTACCCTGGGAGTACACAGGAAAATCTTGTGATACCACTCGTGGTCTATAAATATATATAAATATATATGTATATATATATAGTGTGTGCGCTTCTAAGTGGGGCTGAAAAGGATTAATTTTCTGGGCAGATGAATGAACTTTAAGACAAACACCCAGCATCTATCATCCAGCACTCCCCCCACTTCTTTAGAAAGCTAACAATTCTTGGCTATTGCTTCAGGAAGTTCTTTCTAAACCTTTAAATAACTCTTGTTATGTTATGAATTGTCTTGAAGTGGGGGTGATATGCACACTATATTTTAATGCAGCACTACTTCACATACAGGCACACCATGGCCAGGGAGCAAAAGCCCAAGCCACACTGCGCCAGACACACAGTGCTTGGTGACCTCTGGGGGCCACCCCAATCTGGTGTATTCCTATACATCACCCTGTAGAGTTAGGGAGCCAAATACCCGCTCTCTCCACAGTGATTCATGGGGCTGACCCTCACAGATTAGCAAAATTCCTTTTTTTCCCCTCTGCCTACACTACATTTTATGGATGATGTATTTCCTAAATTTATCCCTCACCAGGCAAATGACCATTGCACTTATTTCTCCACACCCATCTTGACAAAAGGATTCCTCTGTAGCTAAACATGAAGGCTTTGTTGGGTGCTTGTATCTGTCTTATGCACATTGGTTGTAATGTACAGCTTCTCAGGGTCCCTGCTAAGTTAGTCTCAGATGGCCACAGGACAAAAGCTGGAGACTGCCAAACACCACTGTGCTCCTGCTGTAAGCTCAAAGACTGTGGTGCCCCAAACTTCATTTTATCTTTCCTTAAGAGAGTTGTCATATAACACAAGGAAAAGTATGAATTTTATAAATAAAGCACGAATTTGAGCCACAGAAAGACTGAGCCATACCATCAGGCATTGTAAGAAGCGCAGCAGTAGACTTGACTGGGTGGTGGTTCTTAAAACCTTTTATAGGCAATATAGGATTTTGAGACTCAAAGTTATGAATACTCTCCACTGCAAAAAATAATTGCACATTTCATATTACAGATAATTTTAGGGGGGTCAAGAAACCCCTTGAAACACAACCATAGACCCCAGTTTAGGAAACCCTTATTCTGGTATTGTATACTTTATAAGTGTTTCTCATACACGTTTGATCTATTACCCTCCTATATGATGGTGCAGAACTAGTCATTTTCAGGGGGAACTGGGGTTCAGAGCAGAGACCTGCCTAATGTGACTGAGTCAATCAGGTCTTACATTAAATCCCTGTTCTCTGTCCTGGGACATCCTGGCCTATTCTTGGAACTTGCCATCTCTCTAGAGATAAGGAAGAGCCAGCTGGCCCCATGTCCAGAACTCCTGAGGCACTGTGTCATGCAGTCTCTGGGTGCAAGTGGCCTACCCTGAATCAATAGAGTCTACCTCAGGTATGAAGGGAGGGCTGCCTTACCCGAGATGAATGGTCCGGATGTGTTTTTGGATGCCTGCTGCAGTGCTCAGCACCTTGCCACAGTTCTTCCAGAGGCATTTGAACATCACCTTCATTGAGTTCTAGAAAGGGCAGAGAAAGCTAACATTAAAATGAAAACTCACTCACTGATGTTCACTTTCTATCATCCAACACTGCCCCCTACTTCTTTAGAAAGCTAACAATTCTTGACTGTACCTCAGCAGTAACCATTGTAGGACCTTCCTGGGCTGGTGAGGATCTTGGTGACCTCAGATATTTCCCAAATTCTTCATGAGAACCAAGTCCTTCTCTAGTATTTCAGATTATATTCACATAGATGGTCACAGTGGCATTAAGCAATAACAGTGGCTCACATACCAGTGTAGGTGCCAAGAGCTGTTCTAAGTGTTGATATCAGCTAATCCTAAAATGGGGATGCTAAAATTAATCTGTTCTACAGATGCATATAGAGCTTTAGTAAAAGTGCCCAGTCAATGATCTAGCTAATGGCAAAGAGTATGAATCCAGAAAGTCTGACTCTACAGTCCATCCTACCCATCAGTAAGAAATTCCATGTTCCTCAATGAGAGTCTTAGTGTTTTTCCAAAAAATAGTGCAGCACAGTGATAAGGACGCCATTTTAGATTTTTCAAGTCCACAGTGTTTTTATTTATAAGAAATAAATAACAATAATACTTATCTCATTGGTTTCCATGACCTCATGTAATTCTCATAATAACCTATCAGCAGAATACCAACAGGAGTAATCATTAATGAACAGCAGCTATTCTAGTATGATGGTATGCCTCCTGGAATGAATTTGATAGGGAATGAATTTCTCCAGGGAGCCTCTTCTCATTGGGATGCTATCTGTTTGCATACTGTTCCCATGGACAAGGGTGAGAGTCATTTTCATATGCTCACCAAGTCCCAGTATGTTTTCTTCCCAGCCACATAGCCAGACCTCATTTCCCATCCTCCCTTGTAGCCAAGAGGGATCTTGTGACTGAACTATGTTGATGTGATGTGGAAAGGGTGACACATTCCTTCTAAGCCTCAAACCTAAAGTAATTCCCAGTATCACCCCCCAACCCATTCCACTGACCAGATGCAGAGGACACACAAGGGTTTTGGGGACAGCAGAATCATTGATCAGGAGTTCTTCATCTTCTGCCTACCATGAACTGTCTGGTGCAACTATGGACTTCTTCTCAGAATAATCTTTTTAACATTTAAAAATAAAATACATAGAATTAAAAAGAAAAGCAAGTATATTGTTATACAGTTATAAAAAATGTTTAAAATATTTTGTGATAATATATGCACTCTCTAATTCACTGATTAAATAACAAGATCTTGAAGTAGGTCTAATAATAACTATGATTTCAGAGTAGTGTTAGGCATAAACAGTATTTCACATATCTACTAAAATTATAATGTGATATGGAATATCTATGATTTCTATTGGTATTAAAGTCACAGGTGGTGCTAATATTATAGCTTGATGCCTTCAATCACAACTGCAGAACTGCAGGAAATGTTAAATTATGTTTACAGGAAAAAGAAGGATAAGCTTTCCTCCTTGTCCAAATCCTAGACCCTGCCCACAAATTCTACACACCCTGTGAGCACCTGTGACTTCAGGTTAAGAGCCCCTGCACTATGAGGAAGGAGCATGGGTCCCTGGAGGGCTGTGTGGGGGCAGAGACACCTCACCTCCCTTACTACCCCTACTGATCTGATTGGATTGAGGCATGAAAAATAAACAAATCCTTTTTGTGTTGAGGTGTGGAGGTTTGGAAATGAGTTATCCTAACGGTAAGCCTCCCTTGACCAACAAACTGCAGTGGTGATCCCTTCCCTGAACTGATAGATGTAGCTTAGCTTCCGTCTACTAGAACTTCTGCCGTCACATCCTTGTGGTTCCCATCATTGTACCCCTGGTTCAACAAGGTAACCAACCATTCACGTGTTCAGAAGATGGCTCATCTGGCTGCTATTGATGGGATCAGCATCCAGGTATCTATGACAAGACCCCCACTGGTGACTTCCTCTAGGTTTCTGAATTGAAGAAGCCCTTAGAAACTTCCAGAATTGATGAGGGTCAGTTAGAGAAGGGCTGCTTTTAGCATGGCGAGCAGAGGACAGAGTGTAGCAGCATGTTGCTGCAGTCTGAGCAGATTCTTGGCCATGGAAGAAGCCCGCCAGTTTCTGTGGGTTTCATGAGCTCATGGGTCTCATGTATACCAGAGGCTCTGCAAGGCAAGTAGCATTCAAGGGGCTGACCTCCCTTTTCACTGTGCAGCCCATCCGTGCTCAGTGATGCTCCTTCTGCAAAGTACAGTGCTGAGCTGAAGAAGCCGGAGCTGTTAGAGGGATGTAAAGAGGCCAAGAGCAAAGGCATAAGTCAGAAGCCCTTATGGGATCCTCTTGAGTCCTGTTGCTCATTCTAAGCAGACAGTTTGTAATTTTCTGCTTCCCTGATTTCCTTGGGTCATGACTCTAAATACATGGCACGTAAGCTGAGTCAAAAGGGGAATTTAGAATCCTAGTGACTAGGGAAGCTGAGGAATGAGGATCACAAATTTCAGGACAGCCTGAGCAATTTTGGTAAGGCCTTAAACAACTTAGTGAGACCCTGTCTCAATAAATAGGGTTGGGGATATGGCTCGGCAGTTAAGAGGCCCTGGGTTCATTTCCCAGTTAAAAAAAAAAAGTGGGGGTGGGGAGAACTTAAATCTTACCCAACCTCAAAGTCCACAAAAGGATTTCTTTTTGGAATTTTTTTCTTCAAAGCATTATTTTATTTATAGTACATAACTTAACAATATAATGAACAAGTGCATTTTGCCCATTTTTCAAGTGATAAAGCTATACTATAGAAAATATCTTCCATTTAAGGGAATTAAAGACTCAAATCAAAATTACAGGTACCTGATTGTCCAAATTCAAAGTCATAATAGATTCAAATGCTTTTAGATTTATTCCTAACCTTTTTGCTGACCATATTCTTTTATCCATTGAACTAAATATCTGTTTTGCAAGGAATATTCCAGGTGATGGGATAGAGAACAGAAAAAAAGAAGAGGTTGATTTTTCAGGAAATGAAATTGTAGTGGTAAAGCAACATATTACAATATTTGATAACTGTTTCAGATGCAGCCCAAGGCCTCTACCAGGTGACTTTTGAGCTGGCACTGCACAGCTGGAGAAGAATCAGCCAAGCTAAGAGCTAGAGTTTTCCAAGTCTTGAAGACAGGGAACAGATTGACAATAGTGGGTGGGGAGAAGGAAGGATGGTGTTCAGAGGGAAGTGCAGGAGGGAGCAGTCTGATAAGGCGCAGAGGTAGGTACGCCAGATCTTGGAGGGCTTCGTAGGTGAGAGTAAGAAATTTTGATTTTATTCTGAAAGAAGAGTTATTGAAGGAGGAGAGTAACACTACATTGCTTCTGTTTCAAAAAAGTTAGTCTGTTTTGGGGGAGAGAGCAAATAAGGGCACCAAGTGATTGGCTTAGAAGATTTGGGCCCTGAGGGTGGAGAAAAGTGGACACGCCCACAACATATTTTGGATTGAATATGAGGACTGATCAAAGGGATGGTGTTATAGATGACCCCCATGTTTTAGGTTTGAACAACTGGACGGATGGTGTTCTGGTTATATTAAAATTGACATTCCTATTATATATATCAAAAGGTAGCAGCAACTAGGCGCTCAGGAAAGTCAGGGCTAGAGATATGAATTTAGAATCAGGAGCTGAAGGAACATTTTACAACCTGGGTCCGGAGGAGATCATCTAGGCAAATGCAGCTAGAATGATCAGAGCACTCTAGACACTGCTGCCTGTGCTGTTCCAGGTTGGAGAACGAAAAGCAGCAGTCAGAGGGAGGAGGGACCAGGATGGTGTTAAAAGGATAAACAGAAGAAAGTGGTTCAGAAAGGGAGATGTGACCAACATTGTTGAAGAAAGACTGAGGAGTGTCCCTTGGATTCGGCATATGGGGCTACTGGTGGCCCAGACTGTAGCAGGTCTTGTAGAGGAGTGGGGATGGAGGTCAGACTGGGATAGACTAGAAAGTAAGTGATATTTGAGCAATGAAGAGAGTAGATGCCAATTTTCCCCAGAAATTCTGCTGACCTATGAGCAGTCAAGGGGGGAGTTGGAAGATGGATACTGCAGTGAGTTCTTATGCAAACGGGAATGATTGGCAAACACAAGGAGAAATCGATAGTGCAGTAGAGATAATGGTTGAATTTTGCAGAAAATGAAAAAGGCGCCCATGACTGCCTTGGATGAGACGGGACATTCTCCGCAGGAAAAGGACGATTTAGATGTAGCTAGTTTGCCAATTTGGTGCAAGGGGGATAAAAAGCATTCCTTAATGAATGCTTCTGATTTTTCAGTGAGGTAGGAAGTAAGTTCAAAGCTCAGTGTAGAGTGAGGCTGTCTGGGAGGCTTGAGGAGACCAGAGAAAGTGACATAATTATCTTGAGAGAGTGGGGTAAAATGGGAAAGACACATTATTTGCACATTCATGGTAGTAAAACAAGATTCTAAAAAATTACAAGATTTAGGCAGTGTCATTTGATCGCTTTTACCAATGAGTCAGATTGACAAAGTCTTGTATAATTAATGATATTACACAAGATAAAGCCAAATTCCTTCTATACTATAGGAATTATTTTAAGGTCTCCAATGGGGATTGTTTTAGGAAATTATTATCACAGTGGTAGTTTTGTGCCAAAACAAGCATTATAAGTTGCTCCTTGCCTGCACTAATAGTGAAGCATTTATATTTTAAACTGATAAGGAGTAAAGCTTCATCCTGGTTACAGAAAAATCAATGTCATTGGTACAATTCCTTTCCTTAGTTTTCATTCATTAGTTCAAGTCGAGGTATCAGAACCCAACATACCAGGAAGCTGACCCATAATGTCCTCTCCCCAATCAACAAAGTGCTGACATATCTTGCAACTTCTTCTCTATGTCCCCTGGAATTAGGATAAAAACCATCTGCAATTATTTATTCCCTCCTCAGTTGCACATTACTTCTTTAGGTTCCCTGCTTAAGGCTCCAAAGATGGGTGAGCTAAAGAGAATT